GAACCATCTTTGCATCCCTGGGATAAAGTTTACTTAGTCATGATGTATGATCTTTTTGATGATTTTCTGCAATCTGTTTGCCACTATCTTGTTGAGGTTATGTGCTTCCATGTGCATTAAAGAATTTGGCCTAGGGCTCAGGATTTAGCTCAGTGGTTCTGCCTCCTGCCTCGCAAGCACAAGGACCCAAGTTCGATACCCAGTACCAAAAAAAAAAAAGAACAAAGAAAGAATTTGGCCTATAGTTATTTTTTATGATTGGGTCTTTGTCTGGTTTGGAATCAGGGCAATGCTACTTTTCAGAAATGACCAAGTACTTCTTCCCTTTCAATTTCATTGAAAAGTTTGAAGAATACTGGTGTTAGATCTTCCCTGAAGTTCTTGTAGAATCAAATGGTGAATCCGTTGAGCCTGGGCTTTTCTTAGTTGGTAGGTTCTTTATTACAGCTTTAATTTCATTGCCTATATACTGGGTTATTCCAGTTTTTATATCTTCTTGACTTTGTTTTCATAATTCATATGTATCTAGGAATCTATCAATTTCTTTCAGATTCTCCAATTAATTGGAGAACAGGTTTTACAAGTCATTGCTAATATGCTGTGTGAGGAAGGCACCCTGGACCCTGCTTGGCCTCCACACGGCCCTGTAGCAGCTCTGCCTGGTTCCCTGGATTTGCCCTCAGCACAGTGCAGCGAGCCAGTCAGCAGGCTGCAGGGTCTCTGGGGGATCTGGTCTCTGAGGGACTCAGCTGGGCCTGGCTCCCAGTGCTGAGCGAGCCCCCAAGCCCCACCTGTCCAGCCCCAGTATGTGCCTTCATAAATCACTTCAGGGAGAAACACTGCTTTTTTTCTCCTTTAGTCTCACTTCCATTAATTTCTGCTCTGATCTTTGTCATTTCCTTCCTTGCACTAGATTTGGATTTGGATTGTTCTGGTGTTTCTAGCACATTCAGTTGCATCTTTATTTGGGCTTGCTCTGTTTTTCTGATGTGGGCATTCATACCTTCCCTCTTAGAACTTTTTTCATTGTTTTCCAAAAGTTCTCCAATGTTGTATTGGTACTGTTTGATTCTAGTTCCTGTCTGATTTCGTCCTTAATTTTTCTGTGAGCAACTGATTATTGAAGAGGTTATTGTTTAATTTCCATGCATCTGAATAATCTGTTGTTCATTTTGCTACTGATTTCTAGTTTCATTGAGTGATCATCTGATAATATGGGTGAGGTAATTTTGATTCTTTTGCATTTACTTTAGCATGCTTTATGGGCTAGTATGTGGTCTATTTTAGAGAAAGTCCCATGTGCTACTGAGAAGAATGTTTATTCTGTTGTTTGGTGGAACACTCTGAGGATACCTATTAAGTCCATTTGATTGAATGTTTAGTTCAACTCTGGTATTTCTTTGTTGTTTGTTTTGTCTAGTTGATCTATTTGTGACATTGGGGTATTGAGGTCCCCCACCATACTTATGTTGATGTTTATCTTATCTTTTATGTCCAGCTGGGTGTGCTGGTGTTCAGTGCATATGTGTTTATAACTGTGATCTCTAGCTGTTGAATTGTTCCATTAACCAGTATGTAAGTGAACTTCTTTGCCTCTTCTGATCAGTTCTGACTTGAAGTTCACATTGTCTGAAGAGGACTGCTACTCCTGCTTGTTTTGGTGTTCTTGTTACATGGAATATTTTTTCCATCCTTTGATTTTTAGTCTGAGTTTCTTTTTGGGCTAAATGCATTTTTAGTAATACAGCATACATTTGATTCTGTTTCTTGACCCATTCTGCCAATCTGTGTCTTTGACTGGGGAACCGATACCGTTCAAATTGAGTTATTCCTTAAAGATCCTGACTTATTCTTCTCACTGCATTATTTTTCTGTTGCTGACAGCCCCTTATCATCCCTCTATTTCTTTCTCTTTTGGTTAAGTGCTCGCCCTGCCTGGTGTAATCATTCTCTTAGACCTTTCGGCATTGTTGGTTTCATTGTCTCTTTCTAAGATATCCTTGAGAATATTTTTTGGAGTGCTGGTTTGGTTGTCATGAATTTCTTAGGGTGCTCTTTGTCATGGAAAAACCTGATTTCTCCATCAATTTTCAGAGATAGTTTTACAGGATATATCTGTCTGGGTTAATGCTGTTTTCTTTTAGGGCTTGAATCACTTGACTCCAAGCTCTTCTGTCTTGTAAAGTTTTTGTTGAGAACTTTCCTGTAATTCTAACGGGTTTAACCTTTTTTATCAGGACTTTGCACTTACGAGGCATGGCGCTGGAACCACTGAGCTAAATCCCCAGCCCGCGTTTAACCTTTTAAGTCCCCAACTTACAAACATTCACAGATACAAACTTCAAACTTTCACAGATACAAATCTCAGAAGTAGCTCACCTGTCTGCTGGACATTATCACAGCTGTACTGCTATGTGTTTATTGTACATTTTAAGGTAACTGTAAAAGTAATAAGCTTTTTTACAGTATTTCTGTGGGTTTTCTTATGCTTTACATTGCATATTTGTGTCAGAGGTGTTTAAAACTCACTTTGTCAGACTTATGAAAGAAAAAGACTTACAAATGTTCTCCTGGAAATGAACTCGTTTAGGGACTTACTGTATAAGTGATTTTTTTCTCTAACAGCTATTAAGATTCTGTCCTAGTAGAATTTTTTTTTTTTTTTTTTTTAGGTACCAGGGATTGAACTCAGGTCCTTGTGCTTTTGGGGCAGGTGGCAGAACCACTGAGCTAAATCCCCGGCCCTTTTAAGTATCTTTCAATAATTTGTCACTTTTGACATTCTGTCATCATATTCGTCACTTCTGCTACCCATGTTTTCAAAATAATTTTTTATCTCCTGGATTTCTGTTTAGTACTTTTTCAAGGTTTTTAATTCTTTGCTAAAATGGTCATTCATGTTTTGTATCCTTTTATTTAGCTCACTTAGCATTTTATTAGTGGCTTCTGTGAACTTTCTGATTGTTTTCCTTATTACGTCTAATATCTGTTTAGTTATATCTTCTTTGAACTCACCGAACACCTTATTTTTCTGTTTTATCTCCTCTTTCATCATTTGAAAAATTCAGCTGTGTGACTTTTTATTTCCTGCCTTTTGATGTATCATAAATTAGAGTGGGGAGTGTTCGGTGGCATTTGATTGCCTTGTCTTTTCGTGTTTTTCTTTGAGGTTTGTGGGTTGATTTTAGTGGAAAGTCTTGGTTGCTCGTATAAAGACCTCTTTAGTTAGTGTCTGCTTTTCAGTGATGTATTCTGAAAAGCTAACTGTAGGTCATTCCCTCTTACTCAAAATCCAACTTCCTGGCCAGGGATTTAGCTCAGTGGTTCTGGCACCTGCCGTGAAAGCGCAAGGTCCTGAGTTCGATCCCTGGTACCAAAAAAAATCCAACCTCCTCTATAATTTGGGAGAGAAGGTTGGAGTGTAATTAACCTAAGACTCATTTCTCCAGGAATTGGCCACAGTACTGTTAATGCCACAATGGCAACCCAGACAAAGTCACACAATGGAAACCAATTAATAGCAATGACTATGTCACCCTGGCAACAGCAATAAAATCAGGCAACAATAAGAGAGTCAAAGACAAACTGGACACTGATATACCCTAAGAACTACTACTGCTTTTTATGTTTGAAGTAAAACTCCATGCTGTTTTTATAGTTTACAACAGCCCTGGGGTCTCCTTGGGGCCAGTGCTGCATCCCCTGATCTGTTACTTCTCCCAGAAGCTGCACACTTTCCCAGGCTTATCTTTTCTGCTGGGGTATTGGTCTTATTCACAATCAGGTCTGTTGGTCAATGATTCTACTGCCCCAAGCCCAGGAGAAACAAAACACAGTGGGGGTGGACTTGGTGATAATTCTCAGCCGGGGTACGGCATCTATCAGCACAGAGCTGGCTGGAAGTGAATGCAGCTTTGCTCGTGGTTTCTGTCCAACACCTCATTTTTTTGCAATTTATTATTTTATTAATTTATGCTCTAACCTTCTGCCAACTTTGGGTTTACTTCATTCTTTTTCTACCTCCTTGACATGTAAAAATAGGTAGTTTGAGGTCTTTCTCCATTTTTAACGTATATGATTATCAATGGCATTCCCTCTTAGTATTGTTTTTGTATTCCAGACATATATTGCTTTCATTTATCTTGAGTTATTTTCTAATTTGAGCTTTTTTTTTTGGTTTATTGAGACAGGGTCTCACTAAGTAGTTCAGACTGGCCTTGGGCTCAGTATGTAGCACATAAATTGCCTCAAATTCACAGCAATCCTCCTGCCTCAGCCTTCCGAGGGCTGGGATTACAGACATGCACCACCACGCCCAGCTAATCTGCTTTTTGAATTATTTCTTCTTTGATCAATTGGTTGTTCAGGAGTCACAGTAACAAATTTCAGTACTTCTTTATCTCCTATAACTTTTTTCTAGGGGGGGGGTACTGGAGATCAAACTTGGGACCTTGTGCTTGCGAGGCAGGTGGCAGAACCACTGAGCTAAATCCCCAGCCCCAGATGACCTATTTTAATTAAATACTTTTCATTATGCAATTATGCAATAGCATACCCTTAGTCATCTGGAAACAATATCATACTATTAATTTAGAAAATCGGTATGTTACCCATAGTTTACAACAATAAATGTAAAAACTGAAAACTATGAATAATCATAATTGAATGCAATTGCTTGTCCATTCTATTATTGTCCCTATAAATAAAATTAATTAAATACTGCTAAATTATAAAGATTTTTTTTTTAAATACAGACAGTTTTATTATGGGAAAAATAAAAGGAAAGAATATATTTTCATCTTCTCACAATAAAAATATCTACTTTACATTTATTTTCTAATTTGACCAGGAATCAAAAGTAAAAATTTTTTTTTTTTGGTACCAGGGATAAAACTCAGGTCCTTGCGCTTGTGCAGCAGGAGGCGAAACCACTGAGCTAAATCCCTGGCCCTAAAAGTAAAATTTTAAAATAAAATAATAACAAGTAACAGATTCATTACCTTTAAGAGGGCTAGTTTGCACTCAACACTCATTTCAAGATAGCCCTTCTTCTCCATCTCCCAGGCCCAGGTGCTATTAAATTCTTGGCATATCTGTTAGAGAAAATTAATAATAATGTATGAAAGCAATTTTTATGATTATACTAAGTATTCTTGTTAGTATACACATATAAAAGGAACAGTTTGCACTAAATCCAATCCAGTTCCACCCTGAAAGCTATACTAGTTAAATCCATCAGAAATGCTGTTGTTTGACAACTGAATTTAAGGCAAGAAATAATCTCTGTAGCACTGTTTTCTGCTCACAACAACTTTACCAGGCCGGGGATTTAGCTCAGTGTTTCCACCGCCTGCCTCACAAGCGCAAGGTCCCAAGTTCGATCCCCAGTACAAAAAAAAACTTTACCCAAGCTTTTTGGACACATTTCTCACATGATAATAATTATTTGATCCTATCTCTCCAAATGGCTGACATTCCTGTGGGCAATGGCTAGTTTGTTCATCTTTATGCTCAGAACAGAAATACATTCAAAAGTATGCCAACTTGTACTTTTTCTTCGCGAAGGGGTAGTGCTGGAGATCAAACCCTAGGCGAACACTCTACTACTGAGCTACATCATCTCCAACCCATACAACATACTAATGTCCTACTTTTTATGCGTATAGTAAAAATTTCACTCCTGAGCACTTGATATCTTAAATAATATGCATATAATGTAAATCTCTCAGATTCTCTTCCTACCTAATCAATCCTTCAGCCAAATCAGAGCCACTGTAATAAACTGAAGAAATAAGACAGTAAATAAATGCTCCACTCCAAAGTCAGTATAGGATGTTTTCTCTGATTTCAGCATATCTTCCCTCACTAGAGGTCAGAGGAAGCTATTATCAAAGATTAATGTGAAGAAATGGCATGGCTTTGACCTCGATGAGCCAGTTTTTTTCTCTAATAAAAGAGTAATATCCTACTCTTAGAGGCTGTTAAATGGGAATGACAAATGATGGAAATGAAGAGAGGAGAGGGGGAAGTTAGGCAGATAGGGCACAGGCCTGACTAGTTAACCTAAAGTAAACTAAAAGTCAGGGCTTAAGTGAGTTAGCATACCAGAGTCCTGAATAATTAACTTAAACAGACTACCAGGACCTAACAAAATGCAAAGGACAAAAAAAAAAAAAAAAAAAGAGGTACTCAACCAAATGGGAGAGACCTTGGAGGAAGTAAAATGTAAACAAAGCAGCTTGCATTCCTGACAACAAAGGCCTACCTGCAACCAGAAGCATCCCTAAACATTTAGGGTTTTTCACTTAATGGAAACCCTTTCCTCACAAGCAGGGAGCTCTTTTATTTTTTTTTTTAATAAACACACATTTGGCCATTCCTCACTGCTTGCCGCTTGCAGTTTTGTGGACTTCAATCTTCTTTGCCCCAAAACAAGAACCCAAGAGCTAGAGGGAGCTGGTTACACAAAGATGCCTACCAATTTTATGCTGTTTTCGTAATTCAAGGAGCAAAAAGGAAAATGAAATCGAAGCGAGAGGAACAGGTCCAGATTATACTTAAGCATGAACAACTGGCTAGGAAGGCAGGTAGGAGAAAAAAGTAGCAGGAAAAGAAATGCTGAGATGACCCATCTGAACCAAAGAATAAGACCTTGAATGGACCTCTGACAGGGGTTATACCCTTTTCCTGACCTGCACTAGTGTAACTATTAACATCTTTTTTCAATTGGTACCAAAAATGAATAAATGACTGAATCAATAAATCACAGGTCAATATTAGGATAGGAAAAGAATACAAGGCAAGGGGTACAGCTAAAACCTATAAAATGGAGGCTCTTCAAATGCTCACAAATAATGCATTTTCCATTCCCTGGTAAGCCACCATACTTGTTCTCATTGACATTACTGTAGTTTGAAGAGAAAGAAAAAAATATGAGACATACAGAGGGAGAAGAAATTGTCAGAGTATTACACACATTATCCCCTAAGTGACCATACCAAATATTAAAAGATCAGAATCTGAAGAGACTTTTCACCCCCTTGAGAAAATAAATGCTGGTGAGGATAGGGGAACATCTGAAATGCTCATAGATTGCCAGGGGAAAGGGTAAAATACTGAAGGTGCTTTGGAAAAGAGACTGGCAGTTTCTCAAACATTGAGTTTCAACATAACATAGCAATTCCATCCTAAGTATTTACACAAGAAAAATGAAAAAATAATTCACCATAACCAAAAAGTGGAAACTATTCAAATGTCCACAATAAGTGAATAAACCATATATTCATACAGTGGAATTTTATCCACCCAAAAAAAGGGAATGAAGTAGGGTTGAAGATATAGCTCAGGGGCAGAGCACCTGGCTAGCAAGTTTGAGGAACTGAGTTCTACCCCCAGCACCAGGGGGAGAGAGGGTAGAGTAACTATATACTGTAAAAGGCTATATACTTGAAAACAAGTTAATGAAAGAAACCAGACACAAAAGGTCACACATTGCATGATTCTATATGCAGGATTGTGGGTGATCATCTCCCAACAGCAAGAGGTTATGGAGAGCTTGGTCTGCAGAGGAGGAAGAGAAAAAGGTGGAGGATTTCCTCACTTCAAATGAGATTAGGAAGATGTGTAATACCTGGGAAACAGTGCAAAATTTTGTAGAAAAGCACCACCTGAGTAAGGCTGTAGCAGTGCAAGCAATGAATTTGTTTAACAACATCACAATATCACATTTCCACAAAATCCTCAAAAGGAAGCAAACAAGTGTCATTGGATAGGTTCCTTGTCAAAGTTGCATGAAAAGAAAAAGAATCCCTTGAGCCAATAAACAGCAGTGATTTGGTTAATGATAGTGAAAGTCATCCTACATGATAACCCTCCTCTTTCTTGTCTCCCTCACACCAGTCACAAAATTCTTCAAAGGTAAGTGCAGGTTAATTTATTTTTCTTTATATTTTGTATTTTCTTTATTATTTTGTATTATATTACAGTACCATAATCATTTTTATATGAATATTTTGGTGTTGTGAACATGTCATCTCAGTTTCCGTTATGGGGAAATTTCCTTTGATATACAAGTGCTTTGGATTACAAGCATGTTTCCGGAATGAATTATGCTCGCAAACCAAGGTTTTACTGTACCTAGGAATTACCCTAACCAAGGAAGTGAAAGACCTCTATAAACAAAACTATAGTACTCTGAAAAAGCAGACAAGGTGTCAGAAAATGGAAAGATAATTGTAAAAATGGCCATATTCCAAAAACTGGTATACAGATTCAATGCAGTTCCAACCAAAATACCAATAGCATACTATACAGATCTGTAGAAAACAATCCTAAAATTCATGTGGAACCAGAAGAGACCCAAAATATCAAAAGCAATCTTGAGGAACAAGAGCAAAGCAGGAGGCATCATAATACCTGACTTCAAGCTATACTACAAAGCAAGAGTAATAAAAAGAACAGCACAGTACTGGAACAAAAGAAAGATGAATACATGGAACAAAACCGAGGTTACAGAAATATTCTCAGACACATTTAACTATTTGATCTTTGACAAAGGAGCCAAAAGTATACACTGGAGGAAAGATAGCCTATTCAACAAGTGTTGATGGAAAAACTAGATAACTGCAGAACATTGAAAGTGGACCCTTATCTCTCATATATACTAAATTAAATCAAAATGGATCAAAGATCTGAACATCAAAACAGAAACACTAAACCTACTGGAACATAAAATACATAAAACACTTGAGGCCGCAAGTGTAGGAAAGGATTTTCAAAGCAGAACTGCAGTTGCACAAGAAATAAGAACAAGAATCAACAAATGGGATTACATCAAATTAAAAAGCTTCTAGTGGTGCCACTGCCTGCCCTGCAAGTGCAAGGTCCCAAGTTTGCTCCCCGTACCAAAAAAAAAAAAAAAAAGCTTTTATACAGCAAAAGACTCAGCAGCATGAAGAGACAACCTAGAGAATGGGGAAAATAATTTTTGTCAGCTATTCCTGAGAGGACTAATATCTAGAATATATAAAGAACTCAAAAAAAATTAGACCATCTAAAATAAAAGAACCAGGGCCGGGGATTTAGCTCAGTGGTTCCATCGTCTGCCTTGCAAGTGCAAGGTCCAGAGTTCAATCCCTGGTATCAAAAGAAAAAAATAAATAAAATAAAATAAAAGACCCAGTTAAGAAATGGGCAAGTGAAGCTATGTGTGCTGGCATATCCCTGTAATCCCAGCGCTTGGGAGGCTGAGGCAGGAGGACTGCCTTGAGTTAGAGGCCAGCCTGGGGCACATACTGAGTTCAGGGGCACCCTGGACTACACAGCAAGACCCTGTCTTAAAACAAAAACAGAAAAAGAAAAAAGAAATGGGCAACCGAAATGAACAGACACTTCACAGGGGCAGAAGTACAAATGGCCAAAACTATACGGAAAAATGTTCAACATCTCTGGCCATTAGTGAATACAAATTTAAACTCCACTAAGACTTCACCTTACTCCAGAAAGAATGGCCATCATCAAAAAATTAAAGAATAACAAATGCTGGTGAAGCTGTGGTGAAAAAGGAAACCTACTACATTACTGGTGGGAACGTAAACTAGTACAACCACTATGGAAATCAGTATGGAGACTACTCAAAGAACTAAAATGAGACATTCCACATGACCCAGCTATCCCCCTTCATGGTATCTTCCCCAAAGACATCAAACTACAGCAATATATGCATGCTAATCTATGTAGAAACACAATTCATAATAGCTAAATCTTGGAAGCAGTCTGTACACCCATCAACAGATGATCGGATAAAGAAAAATGTGACAGCTATACATAATAGAATACTACTCCACCATAAAGAACAACAACACATTTGAGACATTTGTAGGAAAATGGATGAACCTAGAAAATAATTTGAGTGAAGTAAACCAAACACACAAGCTTAAATACGATATGGTATCTCTCATTTGAGAAAGGCAACATACAAAGAGATTAATAAAGGATTGATAGGAGACGGGGATGGATCTCTTCCAAATGGGAAGCAGTCTAAGAGACTAAAGGCAAGGAGTGAGGGGGAGGGAAAGTGGAAATAAGAAAAATA